AAGTAGAAAGAAAATGTTTTGAGAATGATGATGGCAACAAATGTACAAATGTGCTTGACAAAATGGATGTTATGTATGGATTGTGATAAGAGTTGTACAAGTCCCCAATAAAATCATTTAAAAAAAAAAAGTAATAGGCTAAGTGGCAAAGTCCAGATGAGGGGGTTTCCTTGTACCTGGACAGTTCACTGGTCAAAATGTTTCTAAATCCTGGAAATGTCAAAGTCACAGACAGTCTGTAACTACTATTCAGTTTTCAACTTAAATCCAAGTTCCATGCATTCTATAGGAACCCTCGTGGCATACTGGTTACTCACTGGGCTGCTAACAGCAAGGTCAGTGGTTTGAAATCACCAGCTGCTCTGAGGTGGAAAAATGAGACTTTCCCATGAAGAGTTACAATTTTGGAAACCCACAGGGGCAGTTCTCCTCTAGCGGACAGGGTGCCTATGAGTCAGCATCAACGTGATGATGGTGAGTGTAGTGTAGGGTTAGTATTAGGACCACCCTGTGGTTTCTGAGGCTGCAGTTCTTTACAAAAGTAGAAAGCCTCTTTTTTCTCCCATGAAGCAGCTGGTGGCTTCGAATTTGAGGTTAGCAACCCAACGAGTAACCCACTACCCTGCTGGGGCTCCCCAACAACAGAAGTAAAAGAAGTAACACAGCCAAGTGCTTGCTTGAGCGTTTGGGATGAGATTAGAATCCCTGGACACGGTTCTGTCCACTACGTTGCAAAGGTAACCAGGGCAATGCTGGGGAAGACAGAAAGAGGCCATAGCTCTCAGCAGTCTCCCTGACAAATCTGGGAAGGCAAAGGGGTTTGCCAATGGGAAAGGCAGGCAGGTCAGTTATGGTGCATGCACACACACGCGCGCACACACACACACACACACACACACAACCACACAAGAATTAGGGAGCTTGGCCTAACGCTGTCCTCCTCAGACATGTAGCTAGGTGCAGTTTTCTTTTTTTCTTTTTTGCCCTCCCCCATTCCAGCCTGTTGGAGCAATTAAAAAGAAAAAGTAACAAACATCCACCTGTCGTTCATGTAAACCTCGCATCAATGATTTCTGGGAATGCAATTTCCCTACCTATGGAAGGCAGTAAAATCTTTCAATATGTACCACTAGTCTTGAATTTGGCCAGACTTATGACATACCACTGGTCTTGGATTCGGGCAGACATAGTTTTGATGGCATGTCGATTGGCTCCCCACTTCTCTTTCCTTTGTACCTAATGTGCCAAAGAATATCTGTTTTCCTCACTATTGAAACTTGGTGATCAGTGCAAAGGGCGGTCAGAGATGTATCTGTGCCATAATGTTGCTACCCACTGTCACGGAGCTGATCCTGACTCACAGCAACCCTCTGAAAGGTTCCCGAGGCTGGAAATCTTTACCAAAGCAGAGGGCCTCATCTCTCTCATCAGAGCACCTGGTGGGTTTGAACCACTGACAGTGCGGTGAGTAGTCCAACACCTGCCAACAATGCCATAGTTCTGTGACCAACTGCCAGCGGAGTCCATGCCGACTCCTGACAACCCGGCAAGAACCCTCCAGACAAGAACTGCCCTTTCGGTTTCCGAGACTTGAAACCTCTACAGGTGCGCACCGCCTCATCTTTCTCCCTCCAAGGGGATGGTGGGTTCCCACGGCAGTGGAGTTGCCAGCTCTCTCCATAACCCACAGCGTCAGGCCCCGGAGTATGGTTAGGATAAGGTGACCAGACGTCCCGCTTTTGGCGGGGCAGTCCTGATTTTTAACAATTTTTCCCACGTCCCGTGGCGTTTTTAAAAATCTCAATTTTTGGAAAGAATGCACGACAAACTAGGGTATACGGTTTTCGGCTGCCATGTGACTATTTCACCGGGATATGAGTTTTATCAATGGTGTCCCGCTTTACCAATGTGAAGATCTGGTCCCCTTAGGTTAGGAGGCCTGCACGCTATCATCACGGTTGAAACGGTACGCACAAATGCCTACCATCTAAGCAAGCACCCGATCACGTTCAGTGCTTTTATTATACACCTCACCTGCTAGATCACCTCAGCGGTAGTCATCACAGAGATAGAGCCCTATGTTGCGTTTGTTTGTTTTCCAAATCATGCCAAAGTCTGACAAGATAGAAAATCAGAGGTTAAGGAAGGGCCCAGGTGGCATAGTGGTTACGCTGCTAACTGCAAGGTCTATCGTTGGAAAGTGCCAGCCGCTCCACAGGAGAAAGATGAGGCTTTCTACTCCCAAAAAGAGCTACAGTCTTGAAACCCACAGGGGCAGTTTTGCCCTGTGCTACAGGGTCGCAACGAGTCGGAACGGGTTCCATGATAAGTGAGTTAGACGGTAATCCCTCGGTTGTCAAACAGCCCCAAGCTCAAACTCTCCACTACTCCGAATAGCTGTCGGTGGTGTTCGTAACTTTCAAACCGAAAGTCTGCCTTGAAACAACCTGTACAGGTCAAGAGTAAGTCACACGCCCCATCTTGCCTTAGACACAAAGGGGTGCCGCTTCAGTCTAAGTGCCGCTCTCGCTCAGACAACATACAGTGCTTGTGTCAGACAACATATAGTGCTTGTGCATTAAAACATTCATCATTGTGCTTTTTTGGGGGGAGTGCCTTATTTGCATAAAATATCGTAACCATGGCTCCAAAGAAAGTTAGTGATACCAGTAGTAAAACTAAGAAGAAAACTGAGAGCCACAATAGAGTTAAATTAAAAAATCATTAAAATATTTGAATTAGGTCACTGCTTGTCTGATTTGGTGACTGAATACAACATGGCTAAGTCGATATCATTAACATTTGGGGGGAGAAGGATGTAATTACAACGGTTAATATAGCAAAAGTTGTGACATCGTTAACCATGAAACAAAGAAAGCAAACTGTAGAAGAGATTAAAAAGTGACTGTTAACTGGGATAAAGCAGAAACAACTCAATGGCAACAGTGTTTCCGGGACAGTGATAAGCGAGACGACTGAAAGCCTCCACAGTGATTTAAGGTCTTGGTAAAATGAATCTTTAAGTGTAATTTTGGGGCCGCCGCGGAACGCAAACTCATCGCCACTGAGTCAATGCTAACGCATACAGACCCTACAGGTCAGGGTAGAGCAGCCCCTGTGAGTTTCTGAGGCTATAACTCTTTACGAGAGTATAAGGCCCAGTCTTTCTCCCATAAGATGAAAAGTCTCTTGGAAATTTACCCCCCAAAATTTCAATTATAAGAAAATTGCATGCAAAATGAATGAATGCCACTGTGCCGGTTAATTCAACAGCTGAAACATTTTGCTAATGATGTCTGAACTGCAACAATTGACCAAAATTTAGATTCCAAATGGCAGAGTGGAAAATGAAACATTTACGTCATTTCACTGCTGAACTTTTCTGCCTTATGAACAAGGAAACCAAAAACAGGATTGCATGGGGGCGTTCTATGTAAGCTTTCAGTCTGCTTACCACAGTCCAAATGCAGTCCCAGTTTCAACTAACCACTTTCTGGAGAACCCAATATGGCTCACGAAGTCTAGGTGTGAAATTCAGTGTTAATGATTTCTCTCTGACGTCTGGAAAACTACCAGCACAACTACTTTAAAATATAAGCAAAATTGCCTGCATCGTTAAGTCTATTTCCTTTTAAGTTCTCCCAATAAAAACAAATGGGCAGTGCTCCATTTCCACTCCTCGGTTGAACTTTAAATAGTTCCTACTAACTTTTCACATAACTAAGTGTAGATTGTGTTACTGTGTAATGTTCACTTTTAAAGCCACACTAATTCGTAGTGTTAAAAGTTAGCACTTTTAAAATACTCTGCTCACATTTTTATGATTCTGCTTACATGTGGGTTTTCTATGTTGTGTATGCACTGCAGTACGGCAGACGATATTTTCCAAGAACATTACAGCTTGCATAAACCAGCGGTTCCTTTCATAAAGACCCAAAATCACTTCCTTGCCCGCTTCCCTCCAGGATCCAGAAGCAGGTTGACCCTAAATCAATACTTACACTCACTCTCTCAACTCTTCCAAACACTCTTTCACTTTAACTGGCCTATTTCTTCAACCTTTGGTGCCGGGAATAGCAAATTAATAATGAGTAGGGTGTTTTTTTGTCTCCTCCCAAAATTCAGATTCCTGTCCCTCAACCCAGACCAATTCAAACGGCGTCCAGGGGTGCGATCGAAGCTTCCAAGTGGTTCTTTATCCCCCTGAAGTTAGAAAACTATCAAAGGTTCCTAGATCCACCCACCGCACATCCCCAACAACTCCCACCACCCACAGCTGATCTAACCCTAAGCTCCCGCCAACCCTCCGGTAACGTTCCCGTCCCAGCCCGGGGCGGTCTTCGGGCGACCCACCCCGGTCCCAGGAGCCCGAGCCTAGGGCTCGCTCCTTCGATGTCCCCGGTCCCTTGGCCAGTCAGGCCCCCGCCCCCCAAACCTTCCTCCTTACTTCTTCATATCGCTGCTAAAGAGGCCAAAGGCGCTCGAGGGAGAAATGGTTGAGGTCGCCTCCTGGCCCAGCTCCGCTGCCTCCCCTCCTCCAGACTGCTCGTTGTACGCGAAGCTGTTGGTGGACATGGCCACGGTGTCGGCGGGTGAGGGGTGGGCCTGGCCGGGGGTTCTCGCCGACGGTGTCCAGTCGGGACGACGCGGAACAAAACTAGTTCTCGGGCCGAGGGGCGCGCGCACGCGCTTCCGGACTCGTCACCACTGTCTCCGGGCCGGCCCGGCGGCCCACCCCCTGCGCATGCCCAGTGTGCGGCTGGCAGGAGCCCACCGCCGGCGCTCCCGGGCCGGCCCGGATTCCCTTTTCCGGGTTTTCGCAGTAGCTGAGATCCGCAGACTGGCGCCCCGGTGGCCTGGTGGCTTAGCTGCTGGGCTCCGACCGGAAGGGTCTGCAGTTCCAAACCACCAGCTGCTCCGCGGAAGAAAGATGAGGCTTTCTACTCCCGTAAAGCGAGTTCCAGTCTGGGAAACCCACAGGGACAGTTTTACCCTGCCCTACCGTGTCTCTATGCGCCAGAATCGGCTGGATGTCAGCGCGTTTGGGTTTGGGGGTTTGAGCGTGTCTGGGAACTTGGCTTTGAAGAGGCAGGTCACTTTTACCAGCGGATAATGGAGACGCCCATTTTATCTATCGTGATTCCCTAGGGAGATGCCTTGAGCCCGGCACCTCTTGGCTTGATTTCTGCTTTAAACTGGTCTCTGTCCCCCGGCTCCCGAAACGCCATCGGAAGCCCCAGATCTCCGGTGCAAAAGCCTCGCGGCCGCTCTGCCTTAGTTAGCCTGGGTCTGCTCTCTGCCTCCAGCCTCGCTGACCCGGCTTCCCCGTCCTCCTCGGAGGACGCCTCACGTCTTTACAGGTCACACCCCCAACACACGGTCCGTCCGTGGCGTCAGCGTCGCCAGGTGAGACGCCGGCCGAGAGAACCACCAGCCCCCTCGCAGGAGAGGGGCGAGTTCCGCCGGCGTCTCCCCAGTCAGCGGCCGGAGCCCCCAGGCCGCTTACCTTCCGGAGCCTCCTACTTCCCCCGTCCGAAACCCTAACTTTGACTGCAGATCCCGCCCAGAGTCTTGGATCTCCCGGAACCTGCCACCGACGTGCCCGCCCTGACTTCACCCAGTGAATTTCCGGACATCTTTCCGCAGCTCCCTCCCTTCTCGCCCACCCGCTGTCGGCCTCCCTGGTAGGACCTCTGGGCCCTGTAGGTTTCTTTCCAAGGCTGCCCATCTATTCCAGAGCAGAAAGCTAGCTTCCTCGTTCTCCCGCCTAGTGGCTCATGGGCTCGAACTGCTGACCTTGAGGTTAGCAAGTCCAACTTCTTACTCACTTGCCTCTCAGAGCGCCAGGTGGATCCTATGAACCTCAGCAATGCTAAACCGTGCCCATTACTGGGGAAGCCTGTGCGGTTCTGGCGCCATAGGAGGGAAGGAGGAATTGTCCTCCAAACTTCATAGGGTGATCCAAGCGTGTTACTGTGTTTGTTCACTACCATCTAGGACGGCCGGGGACCAACTGGATCTGGTTTTTGTGATCCATAAGATCACAACATGAAAATTACTGGATTTTCTGAAGGAGAACGTTTCTCAGGCTTTTCTTTGGAGGCGGTAGCAGGTTTTTGATTCAACTGTTAATGACTCCTCCAAGATGCAAGGAGGGAGCGCCTCATATTTCTTATTGTCAATATTGATGCTAGTAATTGTTTTATGGACTGTCACCAGCAGCTGTTTATTCATGATGATGAGCATCATGGGTAACTATGCCTTGTTATCAGGTGCCATCAAGTGGGCTTAGGCTCAGGGACCCTATGTACAACAAAACGAAATACTGCCTGGGCCTGGGCCGTCCTCACAATTGTTTGAGCCCATCCATGCAGCCACTGTGTCAATATTGAGTTTAATATCCAGCAGGCACTATGCTGGTGATTGAACTATTGAACTGTGTGATATGTGAATTATATGCCAATAAAACTGTTAAAAAATACATCCAGAAGGCACTATTTTAAGTGATCTACATATACCAAATTCACTTACTAGGCAAATAAGGTATGATTTGATTTCTTTAGTCTGCACAATATCAAAATTGGTATACACATCTGTATGCTATTGTTTACATATAACATGCCCACATAAACACACCATGCTAATAACATGTATAAGGAGTTTCATGAGCTTCCAAAGCCTTGTAAGTCCTGTTATTTATTAGCAAAATTCTATGCAAATCTTATCTTCACCATTCTAATTTTAGTGTATGTGTTTCAGAATCAAGTCCCAGCGTGTATGTTGGGATGCAAAATTTCTTGGTTGTAGGATATGTGCACCTTTGCTCCATCTCTTAAATTGTTCTCCAGTGTAATTTTGGAAGTTCACCCTCTTATTGAAATGTGTCAAGGACATTTCCTTAAGTTCTCATCAACACTGCGCTGTCTAGGAGGTGTTTGTTGTTGTTGTTGTCAGTATCATGACATGTATGGACACTATTTTGTGTGTCATTTTTTGTTGGTGGGTGCCTTCAAGTCAGTCACAACTCATGGCAACCCTGAGTCGACGGAAGGAAGTGCCGCCTGGCCCGGCACCATCCAGCATCCGTGCTGTGCTGGCGCTCACTGGCACCGCCAAAGGATGAGTCCCATTTCAGTAAGGGTCTTCCAATTTTTATTGACCCTCTGCCTTCTTGAGCGTGCTATCTTTCTCCTGGTCTAGCCCTTTCTAATAACAGGTCTAAAGCACACAAGATGAAATAGCATCCTCACTTATAAGGAGTATTCTACCTGTACTTCTTCCAACGCAGATTTGTTCATTCTTCTGAGGGTTCAGGGTTGATTCAATAATCTTCAGTGCCGTCCTCTCAAGTAAATTCTTCTGGGGGGAGGGGCAGTTGTCCACGTAGCTGGTATGGGGGCTGAGCCCTCAGCCCCTCCACTGGCTCCCCTCTCCATGCCAACTGGCTGCATTTGCATCCCTGAACACCAGATTTAAGTCTGGTCCCTCTTTCCCTGTGGAGACACAAACAATACCCTCCCCTTGAGTGGATCAGTGCCCTATTCCCCCACCACACATCTCTTTTTTTTTTTTTTTTCCCTTTCCTACCTCCCCTACCCCTCCTTTTTAGTTGGCTACCATATGTACCCCTGGATTGGGTCTGGCCCCTGTCATACTACCTGGACCTCACCCCTGGAGTGTTTGTATACAGTAGCTTTTTCCCTGTGCCCCTTTTGCATTTTTCTTTTCTTTTTTTTACAGCGGACTCATGTTGTACTTGTCCTTTTGTGCTTGGCTTACTTCACTTAGCATAATAACCTCCAGTTCTTCTCATGCAGCCATATGCTTCATGCGTTCATCACTGCTTTTATGTGAGTGAGTGTTAGTTTGCTTGGCATTGTTGCCCCAGTCTTTGTTTTCTTCTTTCTCTCTTTTTTCTCTCTTTTTCCTCCCCTTTCCCAAGCCACTAGCGGCCTCCAGGCCACTCCCTTCGTGTAGGGCAACTCTGAAGGCCCAACGGGGGGAGCTCCCACCCGCATTTTTGGCTTTGCACCCAGCTGGGGAAATCACTCCGGTCCTCTTCCATACACCAAGCAGCAGGGGGTTCTCCCCTTGAAACAGTGGGGGATCTCCAGCCTAAACCCCAAGGCCCTACAATATTATTTTAAAATAAATATGTTGAGGCAACTGAGGATTTAAATATAAGATGTGACTAGACATGTAGTGGATGGTTTGCAATTTGGAACTAATACAATATTTTTGCCTGGGCACATCTTTGCATATTAACATCAATATGTCCATAAATTAAGATGCCAGAATTCTAATAAAAAAATCAAAGGATAGGCATAATTCAAATTTTTATAGCTATTTCTGAATTTCTCAGCCAAAATAGGTCACTGTCAAAAACGGCATGAGGTCCATATCTGACTGCCTCTGGCTACAGAGAGAGGAAGGAAATCCAGCTTTTCATCAGCCCAAGGCCTATTGCCACACGGAAGAGGTCCGACCTGCCTCCACCCTTCTTCCTCACTTACCCTGTCATGACACCAACTCTTCCTCCCACTGGGTTCAGTAATCATCGCAATGACTACATAGAACTCAATAATCATGATTAAGGGAGTGTCTTAGAGAAATTAACATGTTACCCTAAGTCAGGCAGTCTTTGGTCCACAGTAGCACCTCCCCTTCGTCAGCCGCCAAGTCTCTCAACAGTCTCAGACCCTCAGCTACGTGGTCCCTTGACCTCGCCTCTGGGGCCGGAAGCCAGCCTCGTGGTCTCAGAGTTTCAACAATGCTTCTCTGTTCTATCTCATGATCTCCTTGCCTTGGTGTCTCATCTCAGCCTGTTCCTTTGCTCTGCCCCATGGTCCTCCAGCTGTAGCTTCTGGTCTGGGCCTCCATCCCTTCCAATAGAGATAGATCTCCAACATGCTTCACTGGTGACGCTTCATCCTGGATGGACCTGGGATATCTCTCTGTTCCTGCTTCTGAGAAGGTTCATCTTTATTGGCAGGGGAGTGGCAACTAAAACTGACCACCTCACCCAATCATTTGGTGAGACTTACAGAGATATGGATAGAAGAGCCATACAAAGAAATTCCACTTTGCCACAGATACTAATTATTGCTTCCACCAATATGTATTTATTTCATGAGCAATAAATATTATAAATCTCTGCAATGTTTGCTAATCTGAATGAAAAAATAATCCCTTGTTGTTTGAACTTACATTTCCTGTAAAACAGGAAACTTGAGTTTGAAAGGGGAATATAAGTCATAATTTTTCTGGAAGAGCATATGTAAACATGTAATTTCCCAGGGAAAAATAAATACATTGTTCCCCTAGATATGAGTTAAAGCATCCATTAAAGGTCATCTGAATTTTTCTTCTATTGATTATGCAGACTTGGCATTTGCCTCTTTTAAGTGGATTATCCATCTTATTGATTGTAGGCATACATTATAGATAGAGAATGGTAACTTTTCCTCATTATTTTTTAAGAGTGTATAAGTTTTTAAAAAGTTATCAGACATCAGAATGAGTATATGTATGACTATTTATATGTATGACAATTCATATGTATATGAATTGTCAAAAACTAAATGCAAAATTGCCAATATAGCTCTACTGTACTTACAAGGGCCTTTCTATTACAAAGGGCATTCCATTAATTACTATTA